CTTATTGGTGGCCGTTCTTTTCACCCCATAAGAATGCAGCTTGTGTGAAATGGGCACGATTGCAAGCACAATTCGCGGAACTGCAGCTGCCGTTCATTAACGCGCGGTTATTAAACTTTTCGTCGCTGGTTTCGGGCCGATTTCTTCTATTCTTTTATATGCCTATCCTTTCGTTAAAATTTATTCTTCACAGCTATTTTCGTGTTAATCCTTTCTCGTTTATTTGAATTCTGAACGAACTTGAATTCTATATTTCGCACTTTGAAATTTTCTTATATCTTCTATGAAATTTACTTTGTAGGAATTAAGTATAGATTAGACATGAAAAATTAGATACTAAATTAGACATGAATTACAATGTTTAGAAACGAAAAATTTTTGAAAAGATTTTTTTTTAGAACGAAACATTTTTGAACTCATCAAATTATAGTAATAAGATTTTTAGATCAGAAGAAGCTTTATAATTATATTTTTATATATCAATGTATTTCTGGAATTTCTTCTTTTATTATATAGAATATTCATAGAATAATATAAAATAATATATTACAATTTTTATTAACTAATAATTAGCTAATAATGTACAGAAATTATTAAAATTGTTTAAGAGATTTAATACAGATTTTCCAGTAAATATTTTTTTAAAAATTTATTTTATTTTATTTATTTATTATATTTAACGGATTTGTTTGTAATTTTCAAAGCGATGCATATAATGTAATTTTTATTTATAACTTGTTTGTTATATTGCGCCAATATATACCATACAATATCGTTTTTCATGGGTAATATTACTAAAAAGAAAAATTTTATTATCTTGATAAAATTAGTAGCTGAAAAACGAATTTTGCGTGTAATTTATGATTCATAAATTGTAAACATGTGACACACTTCCGTATGTCATTAATTTTAATGAAACTATGAAAAGTTATATAGTTCCATAATTAACTTAAGATATATAAATAAATATTAATAATATAATAAAATCTTATGTGTAAAAATATATTTAAATTTAATGATTATAATATATTATTTATTATGATTATAATATAATAAATATAAATTTCTGAAATGAAAAGTGAAAAATGAGATGAAGAAACCGACTTAATTATAAATTTAAAAAGTTGGAAACTAGTTTCTCATTTGTAACGCCGCGTTAACGAAGACAGTTGCTTCTTAAGATTAATTAACATCCCTTTCGTTGAAACGAGGTTATAATACGTCGTGTCGCGCGAGGTCTCTCGACATTAAAAAATCATTGCTCCCTTTCCCGTCATTCTACGGTTGACCTCCTTTTCTCTTTTAGCTTACAATCTTTAGCATGTTTCGATAATAATTATTAAAAGATTAATATTCTTATCAATATTTAGTAACCAAATACTTGAATGCCATAACAATGTGTAATCAATATATATGTATATATACCGTCAATATTTTTGTTTGTATTGTAATTGTTTACAATATATACTATGTACATTATATATTATACAATATATTATATATTAATACATTAATATATACACAATACAATAATATATTAATATATATCAATCGTTTTTGTACGAGAATCTTCAATTATTGACAATATATGTTGATCTTGTGAATATTCCTTAAGAGGTTAACAATCAACGACATCTATCTTTATTTTCACTGAACTTCAATTCCCATCGAACAATGATGAAGAAATATTCTATAATGGAAAAAAAGCAACTGGAATGAAAGCTAAAAGCGAACTTTTCCGATAGAAATACAATCTATTTCTGTTTCATAAAAATAAACTTTTGTTCGATACAGTGAATATCAGAAGTGATAGTTTTATACGGATACCATTCGTTTAATTTATATTTAATTTACTTCTGACTAAAATGCGCGCGATAAACCACCACTGCTAAATTATCATAATTTCCAGAGCGATACTGGCGCTGTATTCACTAATCAGTAATTACATGTATGTACATAGTCGTCCATTTCATGAAAATTGAGTTCATGGTTCAACGTTAGTCACTGAGTAACAATTAGGAGTTTTCATATAATGCTTTCTAGGGGAGCTCATTAGTGAAAATGATTCAAAGTTAACTGTACAACGCGTAGCAATAAAAATTTGCATAGTACTTCTCTCCTCTTCCTTCCCTCTCAAAGCTTTCCTATACCCCTCCCCTTCATTCTATCCTACTTTGTTCTCTCAATCCCCAGTTTCAATAACTGCGAGTAACTGAATCGATATCGTCTTTCTGGAGTTTCTTTTAGGAAATTAATTAAAACGTGGCATTCATTAGAGACGTTCAATTGTCGCGGCTGTTCTTCAAAACAAAACTGTTTCTTTATTCATAATTTCTTTTTTTATGAGAAATCGAATATGTATTTTTCTTTCAAACTTTTTTTTTTTATACCATTCCTTTTTGGTAGTTATTTATCCAAAATATCATGATTCGCTATCAAAGATTAAAATCGTCCAATGAATTTTCTTGTTATTTGTATTTATCTATTTCACTATTTAAATATAATTTAATAAAAATTCAGTTTCGTTAATTTTATTGTTAATATCATTAATATTACGATTAATCTTACTAGTAATAATTATCAATATTTTTTTAAAAATATTTTTTTATATATATTGTTATTAATTTAAAAATACTTGTAAGGAAACAATCATAAATAAAGTATTCCAGTTCTCATCGCTTTTTGAAATCATGAATATTTGATCAATGATTGAATTGAATAACGTAAAATTAACTTTCTCCCAACAATGTGTAAAAGCAAGACTGTTGATGCATGTAAGTTGGTTTATTGTCCGAACAATTTCGATTGATTGCACCGCAAAGTAGCTTTGTAATAAGATAAACGTATCATTGTTTCATTGGCATTGATTGTCGAAATCGTTGACACAAATGGACAAGATTTCAGTAATTGCGGTGCAAATGTAAGAGACAAACGAACGTTTCCTCCCGTGGAAGGGCGACGAATTGCTTTCGGTATAATTTTCTCGCCCCCGCACTTCCCTATTAATTAACATGACGATTTAAATCGTGCATACATCTGTGTCAAATATCAGTATACATACAAAGTAAGGCACGTAAAATATGGCTACTTTTTCATGAATAGTAATGTCATCGAAAGAGAAGTAGATAGAGTTGAACTAGTTTTAACAATTTTTGGATTTTCTTCACAACTTAACAATTTTTTTTTTATATTCAATCATTTTTTTACATTCACTCTTAATTCGTTAGTGATATTGAAATTTTTTTCAAAATTTTTTAATTCAAGTGAAAAAGTATAATATAAATCAATAGAATATTTTAATCTTGTTTATTAAAAAAAATATCTTGAAAAATATGAATAATTATATTAACTATATTGTAAAAATTATATTGTATAGTTTTTACAATTAATTTATTATTTATAAAAATATTTTGATTACTTTATTTGTTTCATCCTGAAAGCATTTCTACATGTTGAATATATATGTATATACAATTAGATATGTGATATTCCACAGAATAAATTTCCATTTGTTTTCGACAAATTCTATTATTTAATCGAATATTAAGATAGAAAATATTTAACCGTTCATTTATTGTGATTCTTCTGCTACAGAGCTTTGTGCTTCTATTGATTTCAATAATTACAAGAATTCATCGAGGCTTGCAGCTTTTTGGCAATTAATACTTTCCATGTTTCCAGGCGATTACAAAATTTACGAGGGACAAATGGGTGAAACTCTCCGATGATATGCAAACTACGGGCTTGTTTAACCTATGTTAGACGTGACTTATTGCTCGAAAACATCCATAAAATAAAATTATTATTCGTTAAGATAAATATTATTAATGCACAATTTATTCGAAGTTAGGAATATGATAACCGAATCAAAAATAATCTTGGATAAAGAAATTATTCAATATCTAAAATGTTCGCAATTAAATTCTTATTATTGATATTAATTAGAAATGTTTGTTTGATTAATTTGATCAATATATATTGAAAAAGCTAAAAACCCATATTCGTTGTTCAATGTTTGTGAGAACAATAACCATCAAGAATTCTGTAACTGTAAAAACATTAGTTCTTCTCATATAGAGGGGAGCTTCCAATCTCGTGGCAATGGCGGGAATGAATTGACCCGTAAATTTCGAACGCGCCATCCACAGGAAAAAAATAGCATTCGAATCTCTATGTGTTAGTAAATGTTCACGACGAAAGAGAGAAAGAGAGAGAGAGAAAAATGGAAAGAATGTCGACCATCGAATTCATGTTGGCACAGAGAAAATTGATTCGAGCGCGATTTTCTAACGAACATTCGAATTTGTTTCTATGAAATTGAAAAAAAAAAACGTAAACAAAAAAAAAGAAAATTTTTTTTTTTTGCGAATTTTATATTAATAGCAAAAATTTCTAGTTGGTAAACTGATTCGAAATATCGATCTATTTTGAGTATACAAAATGTTTTTCCAATTGTAATACATATACAATCATTTCATTCTATCTTCATCTTGCTTTATCCAATACAAAATTATATCGCTTAATTTAATGAAATTTGATCGATATTTTTCATATCAATTTTAGATATAGATCTAAAATCGATCCTTAAAAAATTATTCACAAATGTATTAATAGCTTGTATATATTAGTTAAATGTTTAAAAAAAATTTTTGTTTTGCATTTTCGATTTATTTATTTATTTTTTTTGTGAGAAATTATTTTCTATCTGGTTATATCATGATTGCAATATATCTCAATGGTAAAATCGTAATTTTTAAGTGCTATACAAGAATATGATGCAATGCTTTTACTTCGGTTTAACCATTCTTCACTTTAAGTGGATAGAATTTTTTTTTTTCGTTAAATATTTTTCTAATTTCATTTCTCAATGCTCTGATATCTAATAATAATAATAATAATAATTAAAACGATACTGATTAAAAATATAAAATTAACAAGATGTTTAATTTAAACTTTTTTCTTATTTTTTTTTTAATTTTTCTTTTTTTTTTTGTATGCAGAATGAAGCTGTGGTGGAGTTTGGCGCTGGTCGGTGTCGCCCTCTTGATGATCATTGTTACCGCCAGAGCGGAATCTGATCTCTGGGAAGAAGACGATAAGGAAGTACTTGTGAGAACCGTTCGTGGCACTAAAGAACGAGGTATGTATTAAATTTAATTAAGAATCTTTACATAGCTATATATGTATATATATATATATATATAATATCATATACATAGATAGTATCTGGATGATATGCTTAGTTATATATACAAAAAAGTAAATTTTCAAAAATTGGCATTATTCTCTATTGAGCTTGCATCAAGAATGAAAGTGAAAAGTATTAAATGAGATAGTATAATGAATAGAATGCAATAATAGATAAACAGATCATTTTTTTAATAATTAAAATTAAATAAATTTATGTGTAATGAGTTTATGAAAACACAAGTGATGAGAATGATCAGACGTGAAAATAAGATGACAAAATATCTATAAAACTGTGTTTGTTAACAAAGTTTCGTCATTACTTTTTTATCAATGTCCCTTTTTTGCGACGCATTTTCAAGACTCTATTGTTTGTGAACAAAGTGGAGAGGGATATTGTCATGGCTTGTTGATATCATATAGAACTTTCGGATTTTTCTGGATTGTTTGACGTTTTTATATATATATATTCTTTTGATTGTACAAATCTATAATCTATATCGATTAAGTCATTTTGCAACAATTTAATTAAAAATTTAAGAAAAAATTATATTTTTTTTATTCTAATAATACAATTTTTACCACTTAAATTACTTTGATGCGAATGATAGATCTATTTCGAACTAATTATTTGATGGAAATAGTCCGTAGATATGTATTGGAAAATTACTGTACTTATAGGGTACAATACAGAATATTAATATATTCATGAGACACTCGTGATAAAGTTATCCTGCTTTATTTTCGTCTCATTTCATCTAATGCAAACTTCAATTGCCTATAACTTAATAAATAAGCCTCAATCGACATTTGTATATATTAACTTTTGCTTCTTTTTGGCCTTGAGAATCAAGCTTTCAAAGATATCCCACGAATATATTAATATTCTGTATATATACACATCAAGGTGAAATTTAGAAAACAAAGATATATAACTTCTGGTTAAAAAATTAAGATTATATACAATTTTCAACATTTTTCATATTTTTAGTAAAATTAAGTGATCAGAATTTAATAATAATTTAATAATAATTTTTATTAACTATTATTTTCATTAATTATTTAAAGTACACACACACACATATATATATATATATTTTTTAATAATTTGTATTTCCTTCTTTTATCTACAGTATATATTTTTTCATATTCATTTTCTTTTGAATAATTTTAAAAATAAAATATCAAAATTAGTTAATATGATGATTAGTCAAAATCTATACTTTTTCTTTCCAACTTTCTAATATAATAGAGAATAAGAAAAAATCATTTTCACTCATTTCTTTACTCTTCATTTTCATTCTTAAAATAATAATAATAATAATAATAATAATAATAATAATAATAATAATAAGAATCTAAAACAATTTTCGCTTTGATTTTCAACTACGAGATTATCCTACAAGATTTATTTACTTTTACTGTTCTTTGAAAAGTCTTCATTAAAAGTTCCTATTATAAACCGAGTTTTGAAAGATCAACGAGAAGAATTGAAATCTTGGAAGTTCTGGGAAAAGTCCTTGTTAGTTTCGTTGAGAGATGAAGAAACTTAATATATCTGATAAGTGTTTACAAGGTGTTTGAGATAGACTGTTTGTTTCGTGAAGAGGTCAATGGTGTGTAGGAGTATCATGGCGTCCATAAGAATCTTTGTGCTTAAAAATCCTCTTTAATTATGCTCCCACGCGAACAGAAGTCACGTCCATTGTGTATTCTTTGGAATCTTTTCAAAGGTGTTTTATCTTAAGAAAAGTAGTTAGTATTTGTTTCCAAGTATACATTCTAGGTCAAGTAGTGTTGACTGTTTTTATTAGAATTGGGTCGACGTTATTGAAAATTAGCCATTCAAAGAATAGAAAAAAAAAAAAAAAGACAAAAGAAAAAATGAAATGAAAGCTAACGTGATACATTAACAAACTCATTGAGCATATATATCAAGAAAAGATTGTTTTTATAATGGATTGAAACATAGTAATCGCGAATTCTGACATTATTGAAAAGCTTCTTTTGTTTCTCCACGGTTCTTTTTCTCATCTTTCGGGTTTCGTCTCCCGCGGCCAGGGAATACAATTGAAATATCATCCAGCGACGCGCACCCGCTTTCATTCTCGACTAAGATCATTTGGTCTTAGAAATTTATTCGACCCAGGATCGAGCTTCTGGGAAGGGAAAAAGAGGGGTGAAGAAGAGAGGGCTTTTCTTCGAGTTCCTTTTCAGGATGGAACAAGTCACCGAAAGAAGGCCGCTGCTGAAATTCCAACTTCGAGGATCACGTTGAATTACAGGTCGAGCTATGAAGCTCGCGCCATGCTTCTTGGTTACTGCAACTTTCTATTTGCTTTCCTCGTTTCGTTTCATAGTTATATCCCTTTCCTTCTGTGCAGTCTCTGCTTACTTTGATAGATGCAAGATTTAACGTTATAAAAAATCGTGTGAATAATTTTTAAATTATATATTAATCTTTGTTTTTATTTTGTGTCAATTCAACATATTTTTCACGTAAAAAATTAAATGTTATTTTGTTATATATGTATTTATTAAAAATTAATCTGAGACTGGTTTTTGTTTTTTTTTCTTCATTTTCATAATTTAATATATTCTTATTATTATATATATATATATATTTCAAATTGATACAATAAGATAAAATCAATGAAACGAAAAGATATATAATTTTAATTATTTTATTGAAAATAAAGAAATAATATTTAAATATTATGGATAGATTAATCGTATTTTTCAGAAATATATATCAGATTTCATTTGCATATATTCAAATTTCAAGTTTCAATTTTCTATTTTTAGCTTTGTCTCGTGACATGAAGAAAAATAAAAAGACAATGAACGTAATGTCTCTCTTTCTCTTCAACTTCATAGGAAATATTGATATTCAAAGCTATACATGTCTAGCTTCAATCTGAAGTTGACAATGTACCATGAATGTATAATGAATGTACAATGAATATATAATTGTGCAACAATTACACTGTCATGAATTAATTCTGAATATGTATATGATAAGAATTATATTTATTAGATTAACATACAAAGATATATTTTTGTAATAAATATTTTTCTAATATATTTCATCATTAACAATATTGAAAATATATTTCTTATTAAATTTCAATTTTTATTTTGAAGAAAATATTTTAAAAATATATATCTATGTGATTATCAATTAATAATTTTTTATAATATTAGTATTATCTATATTTTGATAAAATTAGAGAATTCTATAATATTATACAATATATTATACAATAATTATTATAATACTATTATAATTATAATACTATTTTATAATATGATAATTCTTTAACTTAAAAATTCTTAATAGTCTTTCACAAAATTAACATCTATTATTACGTGTTATATGAAGAGATAATTATAACTATTAAATATGTTAATCCTAGAGCAATATAGAGAGAAAAGGACTAGACTTTTGCATCGTAATTAAAGGCCGTCCTGCACGTTCGGAAATTTCTCTATCCACTTGATCGGCTGTGCCTTCAATTATCTCTATTGACGTTTTACATCTGTTGACACAGCATCCGGCAGTACTTCGTCGTGCAGATACGTGAAGGGTCAATGGTCGGAGTGCGACTCGAAAACCAACACTCGGTCCCGAACACTGAACCTTAAAAAGGGCGACAAGTCGTGCGAGCAGACCAAGACCATCCAGAAAAAATGCAAAAAAGGTACGCTATCTGTGATCCACACGCTGGATTCACTCGAATTTTTCGACATTTACTTTTTTATCTTCGTTCTTAAATTTATTTGATTAAAATAAATAAATAAATATTTATCGTGATAAAAATTTCAATATTTTCATTAATTATAATGCTTGCAAAATTCAAATCAATTCTGTTTTTACAAATGATTATGATCAAATGAAAATATTAAAAAAATTTTTATAGAATATTACAGTACATAATATCACGCTTGATTCATCAAAAAGATTCTCGCAAATTTTATTTTGAAGATTTGTTTTATATTAAAAAATATATACTTTTAAAATTCCACGAAAAATGTTCGTGTTAAGGATTAAAGGACTATTTAACTAAATAATCCGATAAAACAACAAGAATATTTAAATGTATTATTTTTGTATTTCATTGATTATAAACAATGTATAATAAGTTTTTCCTTAATTTGATATGTGCAGTTTAAATCTAGAGATGAAGTTGGATAGTCTTTTAGATGGACTCTAATTAGTGAGAATCTCAAAAATCTTTTAATCCATTAATTAAATGGAACGAAGAACGCTATCTAATTTATCTTTGATTTCGGGCAACGGTGCATTGTTTCTATGGTAAACATTTCTTCAATATCTAAAATTTTCTATTATCTATTAGAAATGAAATTGATCGGAAAAAATTATGAATTAATGTTTATGTATCAACATTTTCTCGACAAACTTTCGATTCAAATTATATAAGAGTTAATTAAGTTATGAATTCGTTTAGATTCAGGTGTAAGCTTTATACAAAAAAAAAAAAAACGAAAAAAAAAAATATGATTATAAACTCATTAAAGCATCATAAAAGATAGTCACATTAGAATGATCATATTCAACATAGCTATAGCTACAAATAATGGAACTTTTTAATTAATAGTTTCTATTTCATTTATTCTTTTCAATTCAATTAGACTTGACATTTAGAATCTAATTCGCCGCCATTGCTATGCAGATATTTCTATTTTATGCGTGGGTGTTTGCTCGAAATTCTATTTCAGAAAATTAAATTAAACTCTCATGATTCATGGGTATGTAACAATTTTATCGATATTCCGAATATTCATAGTATTCATGAGAGTTTAAGCATTCTTTAACAATGATATTAATTATATATAAATATCTTTAAAACGAAGTTGAATGACAATTTTTTTTTTTAAAAATCTAATTAGAAAATCAATAGTCGCGTCATGTCATTTTGTAATGCAAGATGTGCACCGTTGTCGCCTTAACTTGTATCATGAATGAATGATAATGGAGTTTATAATGGTGTGATTATCCCTGCTTGGCGGGGAATACAGCTTGCCGGTACGAAAAGGGCACGTGGAGCGGATGCGTGAATCAGCTGATGACAAGAGTGGACAATTTAAAAGCGAACAGTGATACTTCATGCGAAAAAACGCGTCGATTGACCAAGAGGTGTAAACCGGAAACCAACACCAAAAAATCACCCAAAGGTATATTTTTATTCTCTTTTTTTATTATATACAATTATGTGAATAATAGTTATATTAATTAATACTACAGTAATATATTTAAGATTGATATTGATATTGAATTGATACTCATTTGAGTTTGATGATATTGATAGAATTAGATTGTTATTGAAACTTCTATTATAATGGTAGTAATAAATGGTAGTAAATGTTATGACTAAATATTTGAATAATGAAACTTTACATTAAGGAGAACTTCTGTTTACCATCATGATTCTTTTTCTTCGAAGGATTTTTTTTCCGTAAATAAATATTTTTTCTGGATAAACATAAAAAAAAATTAACTTACTTTAAAGATACTTTAACTTTACTTTAACTTTAAAGATACAAAAATAAATAAAAAATTTAATCATAGTAATAATTAAATAATTCAATCTTGCAAATTGTAAATTTATTACTAACAGTCAATAATGAAACAATCAAATTTATTATATTAAAATATGTATATATTATATATGTATATATGTATATGTTATATATGTATATATGTATATATTAGATATATATAGATATATTAGATATATTTAGATGTATATATTAAATATGTATAACTATATATATCTTTTGATTTATAATTTTTATGTAACTGTTTTAGGAGAACGAGCAAGCAAGAAGTCGGGTAAACAATAAATGAGGAAAATTGTCGATCAATCACTTAATGGAGTACGCAGCGATCTGTTCCATAACAGGCAACGAAAATACTATCTTGTCTTTTTCACGTGAACTCTAATTTTCAAATGAACAGAGAAGGAATGTATTTTAAGTATTGACAATGATTATAATTGAAAAAGAAATTTCAATACGATCATAAAATCTGACTTTTAAACGTTTGAACGTTACTGTCAGTACATGCTCCATCGATAATAATTATCGATTACATGTTGGCTATTTTCAGAATTACTTCCATTATATGTGGCCAAATATTAATAATTGCTATACGAATATATTAAAGAGTATAGCTGGATTCAATAATGTTTTTTTTTTTTTTTTTACAATTCTGTTAACTCTGTAATTGCTGTGTATCGATTTATTTGAATATTATCGATCTTGTCCTCGATACAGTGACATAATTAAAACATTAAAAATTATTAATTATTCTTTGATATTGTAATGAATTTTTTTTCTTTCTTTTGTCAAAAATAATCTTTTGCCAATTTTAAATGAGTAATCCGATAAATATAATATATAGTAAATTGTAAATATAATTGGCAAAATATATATTTTATAATATATGAATTATTATTTTTTTAAGGAAATAATTTTTTCTTTTTTTTATATGTTTTATAAAGTTACGATTATTATTATTATATTATGCTACTGTATCGATGATGAAACGTTTCATGACATGATAATTGTATAGTAATACACTGTGGTAAAACTTTTAGTATCAAGAATCAACACGAAATGACTGCCGTTGAGATTCTTTATAAAATATATTCTTGCTAGAATATATGCATCGTTACGAACCCATACGAATTTTCAACGTTGTACGATTATCAATTATAGCATAATAGAAATTCCCAATTAGAAATAGTTTATATTTCTTTTAAAATACGTCGATGGATAAAAAAAAAGAAGAAAGACAAGTGGACGATCGACGGTCTCTATATAAAATGCCCGTTAACTTTGTCTTCCTCTAAAAAAATTAAAATATATCATCATTAACACGAACATTTTGTTCGTTTAATTCGTTAGTTTTCCACGCACATTCTTCTGCGTATGATTATTTTAAGATGGCTCTCTGTTCGGCTTTCTTTTCATTAATATTTATACTTAAAATCAGGTACAATATTTGTGAACAGAGATTTTATCCTTTCAATTGTCATATAGGTAAATATACCGTGTTTGATGTTAACTATGTCTTATACATTCAAAGGGTTTCCAAACTTTTCGGACGTTTTCATTCTTATTAGGATATAATCGAGGTTCCAAGATATAAACTTACTTATGCTAATGATAAAAGTAATAAACTACTTTTTTACGAAAAAGAATATAGTTAAAAGTAAATAAATATTAAATAAATATTTAAATAACTTTTAAAATATCAAATTAATTGGAAAGTTGTTTGAAAACTGCCGCGTCCTTAAGTTTGGGAATCAGTGTTTTACGTGATAAGCACGATTAAATAATTATTACCATTTCTCCGATATGTACTAATAATTCTTCTCGACAAGACGTAACCTTCGCATAAAATGAAACGTCAATATATACAGTCTCTTTATATGTGTCTCGTATTATCTCTGAATGAAAAACTTATAATAACGAAAGCCAAATGAGCATAAAAATCAAATTAACATAATGCAAAAGTCTCAGGCTTCTCGTAGATCTGGGGGCTAATTAAATTAATTAGAACTCGTCTCTACGAGGTGTTCCATTGAAACTATAGAAATCAAACCTTCCCCTTTCCGAATACAAAATTGTATTTGTTTTTAAGTCTAGATGTATACGAAACAAGAAAAATTCGATAAAGTTAATAAAAGTCAGTTAATTCAGGTAATGATGCCGGGTATATACGGTATATCTGTATAAAAAAAAATATTCAGCGAATACATACGGATCGATGGTATTGATCGGTATCGATGATCGTAGATTAGTCTACATATACCGTGTACGTCATATCATGATTATACATAAAAAGAAAAAAAAATGAAAAAAACGAATCTATGATAGAATAAGATAGCATTATCTACATTCTATGGTTTCTTCTAATTAACTATTATTAAACGTCTATTAAAGCGTAATTAAATAATAACATGCTTGACCTCTCTTTGTGTGGAACTTGATGGAAGTTCTTCGTGTTTTAAACGCATTGTAACATAGCATAATAATAATAGAAGATATGCTAATGATTAGAAGTTAAATTGTTCTTAAATGCGAGTTGAAGTATGGCAGAAGGAAGCCTTAATTGCTTTTTCAAATTTTAATCCATCATTGTACTTGCAACATAATCAAAAGTCTTTCCAAAAATGTTATTGATCTTTTGAGTATACCATTCAAAGTTTTTTAATCATTATGCATCCATGTTGATATATAGATCGTTGATGAATTTAAAATCAAATCATAAATGAAGAAGAATTCTGTTCGGTACTTTTCTATAGAATAGTAGCGAACGAATTTATATCAGATCAAAAGAAAAAAAAAATGAAAAATTAGTTAGTTAAGAAGAATTCAAAAAAAAAAAAAAAGATATCTTTAATAGGAAGTTTAAGTTTTAGTTGCCTAGGCAATCAAATCAAATTCATATTTCCAAATTAAATATCTCGTAGCTCGTGCGAAATCATTGTCAGTAATTTATTTACAAGCTGACGTTATAATTGAACGAAAAAATTGTATAATGTATCTACTTACTTATTAAATAATTGTGTAACCATTACACATGTAATAAAAATCCAATGTTGTCAATAAAAACTAAATATTATATATAAAAATTATTGATTAATTTTATGTTTTTAGTGAACACAAATTAATCAAATTAATCAAATAATTAATAGAAGATACATTAAATGTACGTATATTTTATGTAAAGATAAGCATTTTTTATTTATATGAAAAACATATAAAAAATACAAAAGTTTGCAGATAATTATAAAATTGTTTTATAAAAAATACTAAACTTTAAAAAATGGGACGGATTACAGATCTTTAATATAGTTACATAGTCTTTCTTTACAAATATTCTATTTTTTTTTTTATATTGTGTCATGAAATATATTTTCAAATCAACTTATAAAATGTAAGAATTATTACTTACTTTCTTAAAATTATTGTTTAAACAAATATATATATTCTATTTCATTTTTAATTAATTATTAATTGTAAAATTTTATTGGAAAAAAATTAATTTTCATGACACAAACAATTATGATATTTTATATAGATAAATAGAGATTCATTAAAATTTCTTATCCTAAAATGCATAAAAGGTAATGTATAATGTGCAAAATTATTTTTTAAGGCACACAATTATATTATTTTAAAATAAAACACTGATACATATGTATATTATACATATGTATAGTGTTTAAGTAATTTTTTCAAAGCATATTTGTGAAAAATAGTTTTTAGATTTGAAATGTTATTATTAAATATAGAGTAAGCATATATCTATATGTTAAAATATATTCTAATTTTAATCTAAATTCTTTGCTATTACGAATTAGATGACATATGAAAACATATGGTGATATCTATCTAACTTTATGCCATGGAAATTGAAAGTTTTCGTGAATATGCTTTTTCTTCCCATTCTCGGTCAGATGGCAATGTTGTATGTCGTACCTTACAAATTTGTGAACCATATTTTAATAAGATTATTATTATACAAACAACAAAAAGTGTTAAACAAGTGGTTGCTGGCCAAAAAATGTGCAGTCCCATCTTGATGTGATTTTTAAAAATATATAAGTTTTGGGCACTTTGTACAGCTATTTTTTAGCTTTGGCTATTATATATAGATCAATTTGTACAATGTTTTTAACTGAATACTTGAATTCGACTTTTGAATGTTTGTTCACTTATATATATAATATCAAAATTAATATTTAATTAAATTTCACTCTCACGTTTTTGCATTTCCATATATTCTTGTGTTTGTGGTGCAGTTCCATATGGCTTTGGATCGTGATATTGTAAAACCTCTTGTTTCTCTTGTGCCTCAAAAGCACGTCCTGGTTCTAATTCAGTTAAATCCAAAGGTGGTGTTTTATGCGGTAATACTGTCCATAATGGTTGAATCCATCTGTTCCCTAATTAAATAAAAAAATAAACATTAATAATATTCATTATAAGATTATTATTGAAAATGAAATATTTTATTATATTGATATTGAAACTTACCAGTATGAGGACTCTGCCAGTAATATCGATGACGCGAACAACAAAATCCAATGTTCAGAATGCACAAAAATGCAAATAATAGAGAACAGATAGTGACAGTGACATAAAATGGTGTAAAATCACCATATTCATGCTTCACAAAGAAGGGATTCTTCAGATAATCCTCTCGCTCGTCTAAAATGGACATTTTATAAATTTTAAAGATTCCTCTGAAAAAAACAAAGATAATTTTCCCTTCAATGCTTAAACTTTTAATAATAAATTTTTAATAAACTTTTATCAATTAATTCTATTAATTTAAAAATCGACTGAAGGGAATAAATACATTTTTTTACATAATTTCATTTACTAATTAGCAAAATAGTATCTTGTTTAAATTTGCAAATAATATTTAATTTTTTAATTCAAAAATCCCAGTTTTTAAAAATGTAAATTTCGCGTCATCTATACTTACAGAAACGAAGGCGTGGCGTATCAGTCATATAATTAAATTAGAATTATTTTAAAATGCTTATTCTTTATAAAAATTTTGATTATATTATATTTAAAAAATTAATTATAAAAAATATAATGTTAATATATCTTTAAAATATCATGAAATGACTTCATAATGAGTAAATGAAATCATGAAATTTTAATTTTATCAAACAAAATGTTAATATTATATAATACGTACCTTAAATAGTTCTTTTATTGATGAATTTTATATTAATTATTAATTAAATTTTTATTATTATAGTAGAAATATATGTATAATTTTTGTAATATTAATTTAACAACGTAATCATCTTGAATACGAACATCATTTGGTGCAATAGAAACTGTTACACAAAGTTATGTTTGGGCGGGGCGTTGTATATAGTAAAATTAATGCCTTGTGCAGTGTTCACATGTAGCGATGCAATAAAATAGTCATACTTAAATTACGTATTTTAACTGATTGATATTAACTTCGATATAATAATAATATTGATCTTTTACATAAAAAAGTAGAAAATATACTTTTTTTATATAGTAAAAATACGATTATATTCAAAACAAAAATATCCAGATCATCAAATAGATAGATAGAATAAATTTTATTAAGAATCAATATTTGTATGCATGATAAATACATATAAATTGGTTCAAAAAGTTTATTTTATATTTATTATAATAAATTATTATATTTGACTTTTTGTAGTTACTATACACATGTTTTCTAATGATACATCAGAAGTAGTATAATAAATAAGGTTACTTTGAAATCCAACATTTTTTAAATACTCCAAACGACCCCAATTTAGTATCGATTTTACTTTACGGCCGATATTTTCTTTTTCATTCGAAGTTAAGGTTTTTATATTTGTACTAAAAAATATAATGTGTTTTTTTTATTATTTTTCATATCTAAAAAAACAAAGAGAAAATATTAAAAATTAAAAATATTATACCTTATATTTTTGATATTATTTTGAGTTTTTGAAGTTTCAATTTCCTTGTTTAAAACAGAACCACAAGTTGCCCAACTAGCAATGCTACATAAAATTGTAAACTCATTTGGTATAAATCCACATTGTTTTAAAAAATCTTTTCCAACGTATGATTTATATTCACATTTGTGATGGCAACAAAATGCAATAATTAATCCAATAACATTACATTTCGGTTCATTTTGCATTGCATGAACTAAACAACTAAGAGTTAAATCTATAAAATAATATTAATAATTTCTTTAGTAATAGAATATATATGGAAGAAAACTATAAATATACCTGTAGCTGCACCACACAAATGTTTTGCAATAGCAACTTTATTTTTAAATTTTTGAATTGTTGATATAGCATTTAATTTCAAATCAGCAATATCAGTACGTATTCTTTCTATTATAAGAGCAGATTGTTCATTCTTCAATTTATTATCACTCTTATGTCTATAACTTGAACGATCTATCAATAATATACAACAATCTTTTTTATTCTTTATTATTTGTCCTAACCAATAAGTTAATTTGCCTTTTCCTGCTCCAAACTCAATAAAACAAGTATTATCTTTTATAAGATTTGCACATTCTAAATGTGATAATAATGATGAATTTTGAATGAGATGCTTCTTAACAATTTTTCCACAAGAAACGTCATTTATTTTATCTTTAAGTATTTGATGCTCCAATATTATTTCAGGAAATTCTGGTAATTTTTCTATAAAAAAAAGTAATAAAAAATTATAGATCAAGTTTAAATTTGATTTTAAATATATGAATTTATATTTAAAATTTAAAATTTAAAATTTAAAATTATAATAAAAGATTTTTTAAATAAATTAAAATTACTAACCATAAACATTTTTTATTTTATCTATAACTGTACTTATAATGAGTTCATTTAATTCAGAAAGTGGAACATGTTGTGATGTTTCACATATTTCATTGGAATTAATTCCTTTTACAATAAATGATGGTTGTGCATCAATTAAACGCTTTGCATTACATACTTTTAAATGTTTAGATATCTTAGATTCATAACATGTACTAGAAATAATTTAATTAAATTTTATATTCCTATAAAATATTTATAAAAGATATAAACTTACTGTGTTGGATCAAGTGGACATTTTATTCGTTTATTTTCAGATTTTTGCTTGTCTAAATCACAATCTAATGAAACTTCTTGATGTTCACCACAAAATTTGTTTCCTTTTTTTACTGTCATACGACAATAACGTTTTTTTTTTTTTACAAAATACATACAATGACTTTTTTCTGCCATTTTTTTTTTAAATTGTTAGATTTTTGATTTGTAAATTTTAATATTGAATGAATTATTCTTGTAAAAATAAAGCAAAATATATTTATATATAACCTAACACATCACTATATTATTTAAATGTATTACTGTAAAAAGTAAATTTATTTAATTAAACAATTAAATATATATTATTATATTTAATAATTATTAATAATATTCAATATTTAAAATTTTTATTTATTTATAAAAAAGTAATCATAATTTAGGTTAGTTTAGATTTTATTTATATGGAACACATTGTATATATGATATATATATATGTATTATATATTACATATTTCGATTGAAAGATATATAGATAAGGAAATGACCAAACGCTTGCAGTCATTCTATAACGTTCGTATGAGAAAGACATATTACTTTTTTTAAATACCATATATATTTTATTTTATTTTTTGATAATATATAAATGATTATTTTCGCTATAGATTTTTTTTTATATTTTTTGCACGTTAATTAATTAAATTTTGCATTTTATAAAAGAAAGGTATTGTTATGACTTATTGTTTTTATATATAATTTATAATTTTATATTTTTTTTAGAATATATATTTCTTAATTCGATTTTATCAATAGTCGAAAATAAATAATTATTTACCTGCATTTGATAATTTATATTTACTCTGTGGATAAAATTTATTAAGATTAGTTTTGATTAATACATCTTTTTTCACTAAAAAAAAATATGTTTCATATTTTATTATTTATTATTTATAATAGATTTTTTATACATTAACTAATGCATTTAATAGAGATATTTTACAAATTATTTATTTTTTTGTTCTATTTATTCATAATATACATGTATCTTTATATTAAATCTTATCCATATAATTAAATATTGCTATATATATTATTTTTATTGGAATCATTTAATGTAAGAAATATTTGTTATTTAATATTTGCTATTCTCTATTAATTGTACATTAAAATTAATTTATATTGGTTTTATATTTTATTTATTAATTATCATCTAATAAATGGAATATAAAACCAATATCGCAATTTAACTTGAGTTATTTTGTAAGTATGCGGCTATATCACAGTATACTAAATTTAGTATTACTAAGACTAAATTTAAATGAATTTTTATTTCTTTTTGTTTTTCTAATTTATTCAGTATATATAAATATTTGAATATTCTCAAGTATTTTCAACGATTTATTGAGTATAAAATTATTATTTATTTAAAATTCTTTTAAATTAAGAATTTTAATTAAGAATGCATGTGACAGTTAGAATTTAATTGCAATATTATTCGGATTCATTTTCATTTTTTTGTGCCGTTAATGATATTTATATTTAAATGATTGAATGATTAAAAAAATGTACATGTGTACGTATGTGCAATATAAGTGTATTTAGTTACAGTGATCATCTTACAGTTATGTGTTATTTTTCGATCATAACCTCTGTTTATTCATTTTAAAATATATATTTAAAACAGTAAACAATTAATTAACATCAAGACTTCGCTTAATTTGAAATTTAATTAAATATTAATAAAATCAAAAAATAAACAATATTTAAAACAATGTCTCAATTAAAATATATAACGATCTACTTTGACGATTGAAGTAAAAGTAGTAAATAAGAATATTTTGCATCATTCATTCACATCATTTAAATAATTTTTATTAAAGATTTTTATTAATGACAAAAAATTTATAAAAAAATAATTAATATAAAGTCTTAACAAATAGTCTTAAAAGATATAATGAATTTATATAAATACACACATTCGATATTCTTATAAAAAAAATTAATTTATTTGTATATATAAAATGACAATAATTAGTGGGATGAGGATAAAAGTTTAAAGTTTGAATTATTAAAAGTTGAAGAGGACAACTAAAATTATTAGTGATTCATGAAAATATAAATATAATTTTGAACACTTATCACACTACATATATCTATCGATCGAGCAATGTTAAAGATCCAAGAATTATTCTCTAAGAGGTCAGTCTCTTGTTACAATTTCGTGGACTACGTCCTTTTATTGGTTTGTTCGTCATTACTTATAAAATAGCACTAATTTATTACTATTTTATAATCCTTTAAAAAAAATGCCGGATATTGAATGCTGTCAATGTGTACACGTTTGGATTGTCAGAACGTTTTGGGGACGGAAATGGTATGCAGTTATCGTTTTATTAGGCATCGTGTCAATTATTTTAATTCAACAATTTTTATTCGCATCCTATCTTCCTTTGGATCAGATAAAACATAATACATATTTGGAGGAGCTAGATCAGGATGGTATGTAAATCTCTTTTTGCTATAAATTAGTTATAGATATTGTCATAAGAAAAATAAAAAATATTTTTACTATATTTGAATATATTTAAATAATATATTTAAAATAATTTAAATAATTTTATTTTCAATTATTATTAAAAACATATATTAATTTATCAGTATAAATTGTCTGAACATTTGAATTAGAAATTTTTATTAAAAATATCTTTATCCTTTTTTTTCTATTTTAAAGTGTTATAAAAATATATGACAATATCTTTATTGATATGTGAATTATAAGAAATTTTACGATATTGTTGATAATAACTTTATCTTTACTGTTACAGTTTTGAATAGGTGGTATAATTTTACCGACGGTGAGTGTGGAAAATCAATTATTAATTTATTTTTATGGAAAAATTAATGAACAATAATTATAAAATATTAAAAAAGTTTCTTGACTTGTTTTGTTATTATTTATTAATTGTATACTAGAAGAAATCTTAATTTTATCAAGGTTAATTCATTTAATTAATTAGGTTATTTAGGTTAATTTTGTAACGATTTCGTAATAGAAATAGACATATATATGTATATTACTATTATATGTTTTATTTATGTTTACATGTCATGAATTTAAAATTTTCACAATGTAATAGTGTTGTGTAATATTAATCTTAAACTAATAAGTTACTGATATTATTTATAATTGATATAAATTGACTGATTTATGAATTGTAATTTATGATTTATATCTTAATAATCTTTATAATCTTTATTGATCATTTATTACTGCCTTTATGATCACGACTATGTTATGCAACGTATTGTTTTATCTACACGTGCAAGTCATAATGACATACAATGAAATTATAATAAGAAATATTAATTCATATTTACATATCTAAATACTATTATTACGGACCATCTGTTAATTTTTTCTGCATATTTGTAAATATAATTACTTATTAAAAAATCGGATCAAAATAAATATGTATAAATTGATATTATAAAATAAATTTTAATACAAGATATAAGTATCATTGATTTGTTTAAAAAATCAATAAATTATTAATTATACATAATTGTTTTTGAATATTTAGCAATATTCAATTGGTAATATTAATTATCATTACTATTATATTTTAGTATTGAATTAATTCATACTATTTTTCATTACGAATATTTTAAATGATTTTTTTATAAAACATTATAAATATAGTTCTATGAAATTTTTCGAAAAGAAATAAAAACAATTTTTATTATTTTTTTATGTTATTTTTTAATGATATCTAAAGAAGCTATGTATATAGATATACACAACTTGTAGTTTTCTAATTTAATTAAACACATGTAGAATCTATATGTACACCGTGTTACCTAATCATGTAATATTGCACGATTAACACTATAAACGGTTCATGAAATATTCATAATATGTATTCATACTCTAATTTTAATTGTAAATTGATTTTTCTAAAAGTTTAATTCTAAATATTTGCATAATTTTTTTATTAAACTAATTTATATGATTATTGTTAGGCGTTAAATGGTATAATAATAAGATACAATCACCATCGAATCCAACAAATTGGCAGCAATACATAACCGATATTCGACGATATTGGATACTTTGGAAATATAATCCGAATTATTCGTATAATCTTGAAAATCCAGAAATCAATGATCCATCAATGGGTCAAGCGAGTGTTATTCGAAAAATTTTCAAAGATAAGGTATTATCAATTAATCATCACAATTAATATTTTTACATGAATTTAATTAAATAAAAAATATTATTAATGATCTCAAGAGATTTAAGTCTTTTTTATTATTTGAACAACTAATTAATATTATAATATTTAATTTCGTGTAGAAAAATGGTTTCTTCGTAGAATGTGGTGCTTATGACGGAGAAACTCGAAGTAATACCTTGGTATTAGAACGATTCTTTAATTGGAGTGGTCTTCTAATAGAAGCAGATCCTATAAATTTTAATAAAATGTTGAAGAAAAATAGAAAGGCTTACCTAACGCCGACGTGTCTTGCTATTGAGCCATATCCCTCGGTGGTACGAAAGTTCGTAATTTACTATAAAAACAAATTATATAATAAATAAAATTAAATATGATTTTAAAATATTTTATATTCATTATATATATTTTTTATTTTATTTAATTTTTAGAATTTCTTCTTAATGGCGAACAACGTGGGTCGATTACACGAGCCAAATGCTTCAGACACTCATTTACCAAATTCTGCTGATGTTGTTCATAATGGCGTTCACATTTCAGTTCAATGTTTTCCTTTTATAGATTTAATGTTTGCTCTTAACGTAACTACTGTAAATTATTTCAGCCTTGATATAGAGGGCCATGAGCTTCAGGTGTTAAAAACAATTCCTTTTGATATGATAAATATAGAGGTGAATTGAACGGATTAATTAGTATTAATTGATGCAATAAATTGTAATTTAAAATTAAAAATTGGATTACTTTTCAGACGTTTTCGGTGGAATTTTCTCATGTTGAAAATGGTAAGAGAAATTTGATTGATTTCATGGAATCAAAAGGTTATTATATATATTCTTTAGTTGTGAGATCTGACAATTTGGCTCACGATATAATATTTATGAAATATGATTATGAAAAGTCTAATTTGTTAAAATAGTTTCGTTCTGATTACGTTATTTTGTGTTCCTTAATATAATATCTAAAATATTTTTGATACATCTTAAATAAAATAATATACTTTAAAGTTTTTTTTCATTGTTGTATTTAAAATTATTATATTTAATTTTATTTAATTATTAACTATATTGTTAAATTATATATTATTATAATTAGAATATATGATATAAAATATATTTATTTCAGCTCTTTATTTTATTTTATATTAATTACTTTCGATTTAACATTTGCAAGTTAATTTAAAAAAATTTGACATTATTAATATTATTTTAACTTTTCTTTATTTTACAAAATATTTACAGAAACGTATATTTTGCATAATAAAAATAATATTTTCTCGTAGATATTTCGTATTAAGCATTAATAATAAATTTGTGAACAATTGTGAAAATTAACTTTTGCAATTGATTAGGAATACTCAATTCATTCTTATGATAAAAATAAAATACAAATTCTTTTATATATATGTATAGGAACCGAGAAAGAATACTATACAATTAATGATTACTGGAATAATTTAATATATAATTAAATCAATTTGTTATTTATTGCTACGTTATGAGCAATAAAGTTTTAATAATTATACGCAATTACAGCAAAAATATCAATGTATATATTTCTTGTTATATTTATTATTTAAATAAATTATTTAAAGCTTGTAGTAGACTAGTTTCATCACTTTTCCAGTAGTTTTGATACATGGAAAATAGCTATCTTTATATATTTTTAAAAATACTTCTAATTATTTTATAATAGTTATCATAATTATATTTAAGATTGATATAAAATGATGAAACAGTATTTGACTTAATTATAACAATTATTATAATTATATCTTTAATGAGCGCATAGGAACTCAAGATTTTTGTAGAAAATTAGTATGTTATTTTAAATATTATTTACATTTGATTATAAAAATTACAACAAGATTTGAATAAATAATATCATATAGTAAATAAAGTAAACAAATATCCATTTGATTTTTAAAAAATCATTCAATTTCACCTATTTTATATTTTATCTTTAGTCTTTCTTTCATCTATATTTTTTATTCTTTATTATAATACTTATGCGGTAAACATTTACATAATTAGTGATCACAGATTTTATGTAAAATTTTATATAATTCGATCCTAATGTATCGTTCATAATCTTATGTAGATTGATATTTTTGTAAGAAATAAAATTAATTAATATTATTCTAGTTCATTATTGAAGATATAAATAGTATAATAAAAATAGATATAAATAATAAGAATAAAATGAGTATTAAACTATTATTTAATTATTTAATAATTGGAATTATCTTTTAATTTTTTTCATATTTTTAACATATAAATATTTTATAAAATACAATCCACATATAAATATGAACAATACTGAATGATATTAAAATGTTATGGAATGATTCGAATGATCACAGTCTTAAAAAATTATTCTAGTACCCATTACTTTAAACGTAACTTTCCTGTTTTTTCCTAACAATATTTCCGCTAATGACCGTCGTCTGAAGTGGTACTTTTGTTTGTTTCTCCATGGTCGAATTGCACGGCGCCTTAACACTGCTGCTCTTATTACTGCTATGTCTTCTCCAGAAATCTGAGTGGTTGCTACTGCAATTGGTTGAGCCAGTAGTATAAGTACCAGTTTTGTCCGACGTTTTCTTCTTCTTTCTTCTATTAGGACCCAAACCGCATAATCTAAGGAATCCTTCCCTGAATTTCGTTGACATTAAATTGTAGAGAATAGGATTAATGGCGGAGTTCAAGTATAACATCACTCGGCAGAAATAGAGCAGAGTGAAGTAACGCTCGATACCAAAATCGAGAATCACCTTAATCGGGACAACTAAGATCCAAAGTGTTAATGCTCGAAATGGTAATAAACACAAGAAGAAACAGAGTACCACTGTTCCTAGCATGAGCATTACCTGCTTGCGATATTTGAGCAAGTTGTTCGACGAGCCACGGCTAATTGTTGGGTTCGTCATCAGATGGCGTGCTATAACTGTGTATAGAACTACCAAAATCAAGAATGGTATTACAAAGAATACGATTATTGTGAATAAGATGAAACTGATTGTCCAATATGTGTTTGCTTTCGTGTAACAGGTCGGAATGTATGTACCATCCTTATTCTCTTCCTCGTATGTAGCCATTAATAGGATAGGACTGTAAACAGACATTATTTTAATTAATTAATGATTTAATGTGTAAAAATTAAATGTATAGAAATCTACAATTGAATATATAATATATTGTACTTCAATTTTCGCGCGATTGAAATGAATAAAAAATTGTATTCAGCCAATCAAAAAGCTACTAAGATCTAGTTGCTAAACGAGTCAATGCGCACCATATTGCGCATATTATTATCAGTTTAAAATTAAAAATCATGGTAAGAGAACGTATTTCACTGACAGAAGTATACAATTATATAAAATTTGTATTAATAGAATATTGTGTTAGAATTATTAAATTTAATTATAATTTATTAAAATTATTAAGCTTTATTTAATCAATATACGTTTGTTTAATTATTATTATGCCAGAATTAAATATTTTTATGGCAGATTATCATTTGATTGAAGGTTTGAAAGCGGAATAAATTTTAAAAATATAAATTTTGCATATACAATAATAATTGAGAGATAATCCAACAACATTCGTGCAGATATGGTAAAATTTTATTTATTTTAACAAAAATGTATTTTCTATAAATTTCTTTTATAATTTTATTTACATAAAAATGGAAGTACTAGTTAAATCATAATCAATTCATATATACATATATATTTTATATATATTTTTATGTTTTTTAATCTATCCGTATATTCAATTTGTGGATTATTTTTATATTTGTTTTGATTTTACACTTAAAACTTCGAAACTGAAAACATTTCTTATAATTCAGCTTTTCCAAAATGATTCGTTTGCGTTCGTGTTACGCTCGACAAATTTCGATTTGTCGAATCCCCTCCCTTTCCAATTCGATACATTGAAATCGATACGTAAGGTGTCATTCTGTTATTGAAAATCACGACAATTAGACGCTTTATTTCAAACGTGTGATTAATTTATTGTTATAATTATAATATTATAGTTTTAATTATTATAATATTTATTTATAACAATTATTCTTTTACTATTTTACTACTAATGTATTATTTCACTAATGTATTATTTTACTAAATGTATTATTTCATTAATATATTCGATTTATATTGTTATAATTAATAATTATTTAAAGAATAATTTATTTTTCTTTTTCGTCTATTTGATTATTAGAATTATCTTTTATATATATTTTATTAATATATATTTTATTAGTATTGTATTACTATTAATATTATATTATAATATTATATATTTATAGTATTATATTAATATATATTTTATTAGTTATAAATATTACAAGTTTCTAAAATAAAATTTATACTAGATTTATTATGATATTATTATATTATTATTTATTATATTATTTTAATACAATTACTTTAATCTTATATATTTTATACATTTATTTTAAAGATTTTATTTTTTTTTGCCGAAATTAATTTAAATAAACAAAGGAGTTTCAATAGATACTATAATAATAATTTAAAAAAAGAATATGTAAATACTTTTGCATTTTTTTTGGTATGTTTAATTTTTATATAATTCATAATTACTATATTAATTATTGTATTAAAATAATAATAACTAAAGGATAATAAAATTTTTGAATAATGATTTATTATGTTTTTTGTAAATTTTTTATAACTTTTTTGAATATTTGTAATGCGTTACATTATTAATTCTAGTAATGAATATTTAAAACAATTTTTTTTTTAATAGCAGTATCTTTCTTCATAAATGTTCGATAAAAAAAGAAAGAAAATATAAAAACTTTTTTTTTCATATTTTTTACATATTTTTTAGATATTTTTTCTTCTTCTTTTTTTACATATTTCCTCTTCTTGCATTTTCTAGATTTTCTATAATCTAGATTAGATTTTTTACTAGATTTTCTAATGTAATTTTATTTTTAGATTATTATAATCACAGTGCAATGTAAATAGAGTAGATAGAGATATTTGCTTTGTAATATTTTTTTTGTATTTTTGGTTTCTTAAAACTTAAAGTTTTAAATTAATTTAATAGCCATATTCGAAATTAGAGGCAATGCTATCGATTACACGATAATAAATTCATTAATAATTTCTTATTTTTAATTTTAACATTTTTTTTATTTTAAATATTTGTTTTTGACACATTTCTTAAAGATTCTTTTTTTCTGTGAATTTCTTAGATAATGCAGATTTTTATTAGAAATTTTCTAAATTTTCTTTCTTATGAATTTTAACTAAAATATTAATTGCTAATTAAATTTTTATTCATTGAAATCACTTTGAATTTTTGATTTACATTGAATTTACAATAAAAAATATATATATATATATTTAGAGAGAGAGAGAGAGAGAGAAAGAGGGAGAATATAAGAAATAACATCACACAAAATTTTCTTCTTGTTCACTAATGTACATTTTCCTCATTCTAGTCACATTGTTTCTTATTTCTTTACTTTTGCACTTCTTCATTTTACATAATTTAAAAAATTCCTTTCTAAACTTACTACTCATTAAATTATATAATATAGGATCAATAGCACTATGTAAGTAAATCATAATCCTACTCATGTTAAGAAGTACAAAAAACGTATCTCGATTAATGGTGGCAATTTTTTCAGCTGGAGAAATAACAATATAAAAGATCAGAATCCTATAAGGTGATAAACAGATGAAGAAGCTAACAACTACCGTTAATAGCATAATAATTACATGTTTTTTCGTTTTAATATGATAGGAATCGCTGATATTATTGGAATTGGGCATCAATTGTCTGATGATGAACGTATATAAAATCAACAAGATTATTAATGGTGCAAGATAGAATAGAAGCACCAAAAGTAAAAAGAATATCATGCTGGCATTAGTATCGACCGTTGTTAGACAAACCGGAACCAAATTCCTTGCGTCGTGATCCTTCCTGTTTTCCTTAATGCGCATCTCTTGGTATTGAGAAACCCAGATTATAGGACTGTAATCAATTAAAGTAAAATTGTCTCGTAACTGATAAAATTAGAAGTAATTTTCAATGCCTTTAAGCTGAAAATCAGAAGTCGAACAAAAAAGATGGCGATTTGCAGAGTAAGCAATTTTTAGCCCCTATACCGACTGAATCTGCAAAAAAAAAATTTGCCTTGGCAAGTAAGTAAGCTCGATGAAGATTCTAATTCTTATTTGATTGAAATTTTATTATGAATAAGATATACATATATTATGTAGTCTCTCATAAAAGGTTCCTTTTTTCATAGAAAAAATTTATCGTTTTTGATATCATAACATATGATACTCAATTCAATGTAGAATAATATTGTAAGATTAATAATTAAAATTAAAGAATATAATCAGAATAAGAAAAATGTTTGAAGCAAATTTATCTAATGATGTGATAGATTATAAAAAAATAAAAACATTTCAAAAGCAAATTTCAATTCAATTTCAATTGGAAAAAGAATTACAATAAAAATTCCGAAAAAATTCTTATTATAAATTCAATAATATGTGAAATTTTATAAATAATATAAATTAAGAAATTTTTTTAGACTTTTTCTTGTAAATTCTAGATTTAAAAATATATAAACTTAATAAAAAAAAATAAAAACTTAAAGATTCTTTTTTTGTAAAAAAGAAACCATTATTTTGAACTATAATATGACGTACTACGAAAAAATTTGAAAAAGTTATAGAATAATAATTATGTCAATGCATTAATATTATAAAAATAGAAAAGAGTAACTCTTGAAAGTTTTAATGTATTTTTTCTCTAAAAAACATTTAAAAACTTTTCTAAATTTTGTATTCAGAATAAAAAATATAAAAAGTCTATTCTTTGTTTCTATGCTTAAATAATTCAAAATGGAATTAAATGCAATATTGTCTCATCGAACTCTCCACATTTTTGTTTAGACAAACAAAAATAATAATCAAAGTTAATTAAAATTTATTTATTCCTTCCGTAACCTCTGAATTGAAATTTATTGAATTGATGTCTTGCATCCATGATACATTATAGAATTTGAATTGTGGAGTAACAAATTATATTGTGACGATAAAGATTAATATGAACAACAATCAGTGAGAATTTTATTGTTACAGCGAAATTGGATCAACGGTATGTTAAAGAGAATATTGCATAAAGACATATATTATAATTAGCTGAATTAATAATTAAATCAATCTGCCTCTATGTATATATATATATAAATATCCTATTTAAATCGATTTATTAATATCTGCCAAACCATTGAGAATAAAAATTAAAATTGAATATTTTCAAAGGACATAATATAATTTGACATAAAAAATATATTATTAATTTACATAAAAACATTAATTAATTCATGTTCATTAAACATTACATTAATTCACATAAAAAATATATTATTTAATTTAAAAAAAGAAAAAAGAAGAAATGTCATCCATATATCCATCTAAATCTAAAAAAAATTAATTATGTCGAATTGTATATTTTGAAAATATTTAATTTTTATTTTTATTATATCAATTATTATATCAATGATTTGGCAGATATTTGAGTTAAGCAGCATTGATTTAAATAGAACATATATTATATTTATTTGAAATACATTTATTATTTATTTATTTTTACTATTTTTATCCAATTAATAATTTTATATTTCTTTTTTTTTTTTATTTTATAAAAGATTTTTATTTTTTAGAAAAAGAAAAAAATCTTACTATTGTTACTTTATTTCAAACTTAAATATCATAGAAATAAAGTATTCGAAAGATGATCATTTTATGTAATCAAATTTATTCATTTAAATAAAAGCAACAGATAATCTCTATGTCATTTAAATAAAATAACAGGTAATCTCTATTATAATTATAATCCAATTCCAATATATTACAATCTCATAGCAATTTATATTTATTAATTTATTTCTTCTTAATGAACTTAAATTAAAAAGTTATTTGATAATAATTTATCTTTATTTAATAAGAAATACAATTACTATTCGTATGAAATTTGTAAAATAAAAATAATAAAATATTAAATTTAATAATTTATTATAATAAATTATTATTTGTTATTTTATTTTGAAT